CCCCCGGCCCCGCCCCTCCCACGCCCGGCCGGGGCCCGCCGCCCTTGGGTCCGGTCGCCCCGAGTGCTCCAGGACCTCCTGCCCTGAGCTCTTAGCCTGGGGCGCTGGCTCCGCCGCTGGCCCTTGCTCTTTCCGCTCTTTCTCCCCACTTGGCCTCCGGACCTGTCTCCTCGCGCCTGTCTTCGTTTACCCCCGTCTCTCCTCTGACTCTCTACTCAGTCTCTGCTCCCGCTCGGTGTGTTTCTCTCCTTTTCTCCGTCCCTGCTTCTCCTCCCTCTGACTCTCGGCCTCCTTCTCCCGTCGGTGTCAAGTCCTCCGCACAGGCCTCGCCCTGACTCCTTCTCCCTTTCTCTGTTTTTCTGTTCCTGATGCTCTCTCTCTCTCTCTCCTTGGCTCCCTCTGCCTCTTCTGCTGTGACCCTATGTTTCTCTTCTGTCCCTCGGAAGCCCCCGGCCTTCCCTCTCCCAGGCCCATCAGACTCCATGGTCTGTACCCCAAGCCCCAGTCCCATAAAGGGGTTTACAAGTGGCAGTGACAGAGGGACCAATGCTCAGGGGTCAGACATACGCATCAGGAAACACTAAGAAAGGCTGTCTCAGAGGTATGTGCCAGGTGGAGGGGCAGGCTGGGCTGCTCAGCAGACCCACAGAGCAAGGCCTTGGTCCTGGGGGCAGTGACCTGAGGACCCCACCGGCGCCTCCTCTGGAGACACATCTCTAAGGGCTGCTGCCCTCCTGGACCCGCCAGGCTCTTTCCCTTTGCCCAGGACAATGGAAGGACTTAACATCCTCCCAGACTTTATGGAAGATTAGCTGCATAAGAGATGGTGCTGGGCACGATTCTTTGTCCTCAAAAGGAGTAAGTCAGAAGCTGGTAGCCATGGTTCCAAGGTCAGACACCTAGATGAGAACCTGAACAGCACCTCGCTCACAGAGGGTGGTCAGACAGCACTTGCCCAGACCTGGGCACTGTGCCAAGACTTTCTATGTATTGACTCACTTTGTCCTTACAGACACCCTCTGAGGTAGACACTGTTAGTATCCCATTCTACAGATGGGGAAATTGGGGCCACAGAGGGAAAGGACTGGCCCAAGATGTGCAGCTCATAAATAGAGCTACAGGGTTTGAAAGCTGAAGACTTTCAAGCAGGACCTCCGGTCAGACCCTTAGCTGCCACATGGTACCTTGCGGCCTGCACTCTGAGTGGGTCCTGGCCTCATTTTCCTTGCTCCCATCTGACCAGGAAGGAAGGACAGGGGGTGTCTGTGCACCATGGGGCAGGCAGGAAAGACTGAGCCCACAGCAGGCTCCCACTTCCCTTGTCCCTCCACCCTGGCCTTCCTGCCATCACACCTGCCTGGTTCCCACTCCCTCACCCCCAGGTCTGGCTACTGCTTTGATGGCCAGAGGTGTTCAGCTGCAGGAAATTGGAGGCCCCCCTACGGGTTCCCCATCCATCCAGGCTCAGGGCTGCTGGGGAACTGCCAATAGGACTGATATCCCTGTCTCCATCTCTAGGTGGGGAGAGCCCATGCCCTGCCACTCATAGGAGCAGACTGAGGAGCCCAGCATGGGGCCTGCCTCAATGCCCTCTCTCAGCCCCACCCCTGCCCAGTATGCTTCTGTCTGCTGCCATCTTATCTTTCTCTAGCCTTCCCCCACCCTGTCTCAGCTCTTTTCCGTCTTCTTGTTCCTGCCTGTTTCTCCCTCCCTTTGTCTCTCCTTCTCTCCTAGTCTCTGCCCCCCTCCCCTTTCTACTTTCTGTGTGTGTGTGTGTCTGTCTCTCTGTGTCTCCCTCCCTATCCCCACCCCTTCCCTCTCTCACCCCTCCTGGCTTCCTTCCTGTCTCAATCTCATCTTGCCACATCCTGCAGCTCCCCCCACTGAGCCTTGAGGATACTGCTCTGTGTCATCTCATCCCCGACAGGCACATAGCCGATGGTGCTGGGCACTCGGGACACAAACCCTGCCTGCCTAGCCCAACAGTGATACTCGGGAGCTGCCTCAGGCTAGGAATTTTTAAGGGTCTAAGGATTCTAAAATATAAGGGATGTGAGAAGTGCTGTGTGACCTTGGGCAAGGCACTTGCCCTCTCTGAGCCTCAAGTTTTTCAGTTTTAAAACAAGGACAGTCACACCTGCCCCTGCTGTTGAGAGATAGGAGAATCCAACATAACACAACAGGCACATCATAGGTCCTTGGCAAACATTGGTTTCTCTCCTCTTGTGCCAGAATAATGTCCCCTGACTCCTGTGCTAGGGCTGGAGAGAAGGGTTGCAACAGAAGACCAGGGCCCCCCTTCTTGTTCTGAGCCCTATTGTGTCTAGCTGAGCCATTGTCCACTGAGGGCCCTACAGGATCTTAGCTCATCCTTGCTGCTGCCAGGCTGGGGTCATGAGACCCATTTCACAGATGGGACATTAGCAAGGTGAGGATTCAAAGCCAGAACTATTTCCAGACCTTGTGCTTTCTCCCCTTCACCTATTAGCAGGGAGCTCCCTCAGGCCAGATTGGGTCATGGTGAAAGCCACATACACCCCCAGCTGAGCAGAGATGCAGACAGGTAGGGGCAGAATGAATGAATGAAGGAGTGAAAAAACGCACATCTTCCCTGGCCTTGCCAAGATGCTACAGGATGCCCTCCCACAGGGGATGTTGGAGGGAACAAAGAGGAGATGGGTGGCACCAAGGAGAAGAGTTAGGTGGGACCCAGCATTCACTACTCAGAATCCACCGACCCAGACAAAGCAGCCCTGCATTATCAGCTCCCCAGTCACACCCATTCAGGCCCTTTTCAGTTTTTGTTCAGGTCTTCTGATTTTATCAAGGAAAAGGGCTGGAGCTGGGGCTAACATGTCTTTAATGACTCTAACATTTGTCATTGTCTCTTCTTAATAGAAAGAAAGTCTACAGCTCAGGCCTGTTAGCATCAGCGGTCTAGGATTTACCAGGAGTGCTTCTTTTTCTTTACATTTGCAGTTACTTTCAGGTTTTGGCACGGGGTCCTGCTTTTCCATGTACAGTAATGGTCTAAAACTTCCTTGATAAATGCATTTAATGAAGTCTTTAAATGTGTGTTTAAGATAAGTGTGAAGTAGGTCATAATTCAGGTGATATAAAAATGCTTGAAATTTGGGAAATGTCCAGTGGCCAGGCTGGGGCAGGTCCTTGCCTGGAGCACGCAGGGATCAATGGCTGGGCTGCCCAGAGAGGGTGGGCCTGGACCCCCCACCCTGTCCTGTCCATTCTGGACTCTCTGACTTCCTGGGGCAGAGCTGGGAGGAGGAGGAGGAAATGTTTTTCTTCTTCAATTGGCAAAAATAACAGTGGGGCCAGGGCTGCAGTGGGAGGAAGGGGCTCCTGCCCTCCCACCCCTTGGACCTGGCCTCAGAGAACGTTTTCCCGTTTTTCCCAGCAGGAAATGCTCCTGACAAGCTGACTCCTCAGAGCACTGCCTTATCGACAGGAAGGTGCTGGAAACAGCTCAGCACCCCAGCCACGGGCCTAGATAGTGGCAGGAGCTGTCACTGCAGCTTCTTGGGGGCTTGACCTGTCTCATTTCTCCTGGAAATGGGTTTTATCAGCCCCATTCACTGAGGGGCCAGAGAGGTGGCCCCACTGTCCTGTTGCACAGCTCACTGGTGTCCACACCCTGCTCTAGGCTGCGCAGCCCTCTGCCCCTTCCCTGGAGTTGAGAGACCTGAGTTCCAGGCCCAGCTCTGCCCGGAAGCACCTGTGTGACCATGATAGCACCGCTGTTCCTTTATGCCTCAGTTTCCAATCAGGAAAGGGGGGTTTAGTCTGTCTCCTGGGGCTGCTGTGAGGATGGAAACATACACAGGCGTCACAGTGCCTGGCACGTCATGAGTGTGGTACCCGCTGACTCTGATGCTCTGGATCTTGGGGTTCCTCTGCCCTAGACCCCCAAAAGAAGCCATGTGGCCTCTGGTATGGATCACCACAGCCCCAGCAGAGTTTCCGACCTAGATAATGATCGTCAGCCTCCTAGTGGCTGCCATGAGGAGGTGCCCTCAGTGGCCATCGCCAGGAAGGGCTTTGATGTAGGAGGTCCCCTCCTTTAAGTAACTCTTCAGAGGGTCTCCAGAGGCCTGTGTGATTATTCCCTCTCCCCTTCTTATAAACAGGGATGCCAAGCCTCAGAGACACCACGGGGCCTGCCTGAGGTCACCTGCAAATACGTAGCAGAAGTGAAACCCTGCCCACTTTGCCTCCCACACTGGATCTCTCCTGTCATGGCTGCCACATCCCACTGGTGTAGACCAGAGGGGTGGGTGACCCGGGCTGACAGGAGACTGAGCCCCCATCACACTAATGTCTTTCAATTACACACAACTGGCCTGGCTTCACTGCTGCTGTTTCCCTACAAGGCCTGGGCCCCTACTGCAGATGTCATGGAAAACCAGGGTCTGTGCCCCTTCCCATTCCAGGGGCCTCCTCCTGGGCTCTGGATTGTTCCTGCCCCCTCCTTCTCTGGATGCCACCCTGGGGCACCCTCAGGATCTGGTTTTAGGACAGGAGCAGTGGCCTGCTCTCAGTCCCCCGGTCATTTCTCTTCTTTTTGT